CAGCCCTCACTTGTCGCTGTCGGGGCTCTCGAGCACGGGGGTCCCGTCCCGCAGCCAGAGCAGCCCGCGGGGCTCCAGGCCGGGGTCGAAGGTGGCCCCGCAGGTGAATGTCACCGTCTCGCCCTTCTTGGCTGTGACACTCTGGGGGGGCACCTCGATCCGGGTGGCCGCTGGGGGAGGGGGGAACGGCGAGATTTGGGGGTCTCGGGGGGGTTTGGGGGGCTTCGGGGGGGGCCCAGGATGGGTTTGGGGAGGGTTTGAGGGGAATTTGGGGGTCCCAGGATGGGTTTGGACAGGATTTGGGGGTCCCGGGAATAGTTTGGGGAGGATTTGGGGGTCCCAGGAAGGGTTTGGGGTGTCCTGGGCTGGGCCAGGAAGGGTTTGGGGAGGATTTGGGGGGAATTTGGGGGTCCCAGGATGGGTTTGGGGAGGATTTGGGGGGAATTTGGGGGTCCCAGGATGGGTTTGGACAGGATTTGGGGGTCCCGGGAATAGTTTGGGGAGGATTTGGGGGTCCCAGGAAGGGTTTGGGGTGTCCTGGGCTGGGTTCAGGAAATCTTGGGCTGATCTCGGGGGTCCTGGGCCAGGCTCAGGGGGTCCCGGGCTGAGCTCAGGGGCTCATGGGGGTCCCGGGCTGGACCCGGTGGGGGGTCCCGAGCTGGACTCGGGGGGATCCCGGGGGTCCCGGTCCGGGTTCAGGGGGGGTCCCGGGGTTCCCGGGCTGGACTCAGGGGTCCCGGGCTGAACTCGGGGGTCCCGGGTCGGGCTCAGGGGGTCCCGGGGGTCGCTGACCCCTGACGTCCAGGCGGGCGGTGACGCTGGCGTTGCTGTGGGCGTTGTGCGCGCGGCAGGTGAAGACCCCCGCGTCCCCCCGCGCCGCGGGGCCCAGGCGCAGCGAGCCGTTGGTGAAGGCGAAGGCGCGATCGTCCTGCAGGGCCGGCTCCAGCGAGGGGCTCAGCCTGGGGGGACACCGCGCTCGGAGCGGGGCCGGGGGCGCCGCGGCACCTCGGGGGGGGGTTG